TGCCTATCACCATTACCCCAGTGACTGTATCAGTCCATCTCATCGAGGGTTTTCCTCTCTTATGCTGTCCCTCCACTCTCCCAAGCATGGTATACCTCTCCAGGGACTGATCCCACCTTGCAACATGTCCAAAGTCTGTCAGATGGAGCTTCAGAATCCTTACCTCCAAGGAACAGCCTGGCTTAACCCTCAACAGAACAAACTACTTTGTTCTTGAATACTCTTCAGTACCAAAGCTCAAAGGCATCAACTCTCCTTATATCATCCCTAGTCATTGTCCAGCTTTCTGATGCATAGCAAGTAATTACAAAGATCATGGCCTGTATCAGGTGCACCTTAGGCTCCAGACTGACATCATTGCCCTTCAAGACTTTGAAGAGGTCTCTGACAGCCGACTTTCCCAATGCAAATCATCTTTTAATTTCCTGGCTGCTTGGTACCAAGAGTGTTGATTGTATAACCAAGCAAACTGAAGTTGTCAACAATCTCAATCTCTTCATCATCCGTTATGATGCTGCCAATCAGCCCAGTGATGAGAATCTTTGTCCTCTTGACATTGAGCCTCAATCCATACTGAAGGTTGCAGTCCTTGACCCTCTGCAGCAAGCGCTTCAGGTCCTCCTCAGTTTCAGCGAGCAGGGTTGTGTCATCTGCATAACGCAGACTGTTGATGAGTCTTCCACCAATAGTGGGTGTGTCTGACAGTGACTGGAATGACAAAACCATTGGGGGGGACCCTGGATGGTAGAGTCGGGGAGGTGGAACAAGCCTTTTTGTTAGCCTAAGACCGGAGGCTGGATCGTGGCCAGGGCAGCAGGACTTTGGGGCCAGCAGTGCTACAGCTGACTCTGGGGAGGTTTGGTTGCTGTGCAACGTGCACACTGCCCTCGTTCTCTGAGAGGGAGGTTGAGATTCTGGCAGGATGCTGACCTGTACGTTTTCCCATTCCAGTACACTCACATTTCACACATGGAGATCTGTTCTGGTTTCATTTTGTTGGCCGTGACCCTGGAAGAACTGGTTTGGAGCCCTGGTTGTGTGTCTTCCTTGCACAGGCATAAAGCCGGGCCCCAGAGGGAGGGTGTGTGTTTTCTTACAAAACTACCTCAAGGCCAGGAAGCAGTCGGCAGATAGCCTGACACATTAATTTCACAAAAATACGGTCAGAGGTCTAGAATTGCTTTGAGACTGTCTTCCCTTGCCGTTAATCTGATCCCAGAAAATAAAAACTCTTTGTGACCTGGAATAAAATATTAAAAAAAACACGGGTCTCCTGACAGAATCCAACTCAGCTGTTGCAATTTGTCTGTATTCCTTCCACGGCTCCATTGTTGTTGTTGTTATGTGCTGTCAAGTCACTTGTGACTCATAGCGACCGTGTGTACAACGGCCCTGAACCTTGCTCGACCCTGTGCCAGCTGTACTGCCTCTGACACGCCGACCCTCATTACCCCAGTCACCACTCCTTTAGTTTGCAAAATAAAGACCTGAACCTCTTTGGGGACAGGAAGAACCACGCAATAATCCATCACCCAGGGAGGGCAGCGTTTCACTGCCTGTAGCACTAGCGTACCTCTAATGTTAGACCTTGTGCCATCTGACAGCCTGCTGGGGGCCGGCAGTAATGAAAATCCTATGTGCAAACCTCCCAGCACATGAGCCTCACAGGTGCCCGGGACCTCTAGCCCCCAGAGACAGCCCCCTGCCTTTCTGGGGAAGGGGAACAGAGAGCTGGGGTAGAGGTGAGCATAATCAATCAGCCAGTCATGTGGGATGTTACAGAGCAGGACCCAGCGTGCTGATGGACACGGGTGACCAGGGCAGTCAGGGAGGTGTCGTGGAGAAAGGGAGTGAGGGGAGAGTTGGTCACGTGGGTGTCTAGGCCAGAGCTTTGAAGGCAGAGGCCCCGAGGTGGGAGTGTTGCTAGAACATCCCCGAAGCAGAGCAGGCCAGCACAGTGAGGGGCTGGGAGGCAGGTCACCAAGGCCATGGCAGCCGTAGGAAGGACAGCCTCCCCCTCCAGGCAGGGAAGCAGGGGTGTCACATGCAGTGCCGTGAGCATACAGGTGACATGAGCTGACTTACTGAAGGGCATCACTCTGGCCACTGCTCTAGTGAGAGCAGAGAGTTACTGGGGACACTTACCGCTAAGAGCAAGGGTCCTTTCGATGGAATGAAATGTGACTCCCCAGAAAACCAGGGTACTCCCCGAGAGCCCAAAGGTTCCTTACCACCCGCCTGGGGCGGAGAAGGCAGTCTCCTTCCGAGAACGGGCAGCCCCAGAAACCTTCCGGGGCAGGTCTGCTCTGTCCCATACGGTTGGAGTTGACCCAGCAGCAGTGTTTGCCTCCTTTAAAGCTGTTGCTGGTTTTATATTGCCAGTATAGTGTTTGTTTTTCCATGAAGACTGTGCCCCTTGTCTGTAATGCCCCTTCCCAGGCCTGTGGTGTCATGAGACGGCCCCTGCGGCTGGCGCACACTTTCTGCTTCTCGCAGCGGTTAGTCTTCACGTTTAGGGGAGGTCAGGACGGCTTGGATCTGGCCCTGGCCCTGGCCCACAGCCGTCTGGGTGCTGGGGACCCTTGTCCTTGTCCTTGCTCTTCACGCTGCGGCTGGCTCTCTGGCTCTCCAGCCGGCCAGGTCTGTGGGGTCAGCGCTAGGGGGGTCCTGGCACGCACGGCCTCTAACTGTTCTCTTCCCGCTCAGAGACGAGCATCAGGATTTCAGGGAGGAGCAGCTGCGCCTGAAGAAGCTGCGCGGGAAGGGGAAGCCGAAGAAAGGAGCGGGGAAGCGAGCCATGAAGAAGAAGTAGCTCCGGGCACGTGCCCCCTGGTCCTCGGAGCCCCGGAAAGGGCCATCCTGACTGTGGGTCCTTCAGAGCACAGCCAGCTCCATGGACATGGCTGACCCTCTCATCTTCAGCCGCCTCCGGGAACACGTTCTGACTCCCCAGAAGTATCTTGGCCACGCTTGTAGTTTGAGGTTTACCAATTCTGTAAAAAAAAAAAGAACTTGTGAATTATTGGTGAGATGATGAAATGAACTCATTAAATGAGTGCCCTGTCACTCCCCCGCGGCTCCGTCCTTGTGTCCCCACTGGACCAGCACTCGGTTCCTTTCATCCCCTGCCCCTCCTCCACTGCCTGCCTCCCACACTGGCAAAGCCTGTGTCTCACTGCCCGCTCCTTTGAGAGCAGCTCCTCGGAAGATGGCTTTGTGGGCCGAAGGGCTGTGCCTGGAACTACCACAGTCAGCAGGGGAGGCAGCCCTCCCCTCTACAGCCTTCAGTCTCAGGGAAGTGACCAACGTTGCGTTTAGATAAAGGTCATTGTATTAGATGCTGAAAGGCAAGAGAGGTGAAACGTCTCACATACTCGTCAGACAGGACCAGTCCTTGGACAGCAGGGTAGAAAAGGTAGAGTCGGTGAAAGAGAGGGAGACCCTCAAGAAGACCACTTGACGTGGTGGCTGCTTCTGAGGGCTTGAGCGTAGGAGAGAGAGTGGTGTCGGCACAGCATAGGGCAAGGTTCACCTCTGAGCCTTCATCAACCCGACGGCCCTAATAACGGCATCTAATGCTGCAAAGGGCGTAAGTGGATGGATGGATCCAGAGTGAGAACCAGAGGCCCCCGTGAGTAGCCACTGCCGTCAGGTCGACTCAGCTCCCAGAACAGTGCGGTTCCGAGCTTCACAGAGGATGTTTGTACCCCACAGAGCAGCCGACGGTGTGACCGTGGGCCCTGTCCTGCGCGTCCCCGCGGTCTGCTGCGCTGAAGCCTGTGGGTAAAGCCACAGTGTCAGTCTGTGTCAAGATGAAGACTTACAGGAGAGCTGACCAGAGTGTAAGCAGGCCCAGCGGCTGAGGCCTCCCAACCCCTCGAGTCCAGCTGTGGCCTTCCAGAGCTGTAACTCCTAAGAGCATGCTGCCCAGCTTTCTTCCAAGGAGGGCCTGGGCGGTCAGCAGCCCCACACATGACCTGCACTCCCCAGCCTCCGTGACCACGGTGTAACCCATAGCCATGCTGTCCAGTCAGCACCTTTCACTGGCTTTCCGAGGGAGGACACTGCCCATCTCTCCTTGAGCCCTGATTGGTGAGCTGACCTATTGGTGAGCAGCAGAAGTAACCCTGCCCCCACCAGAGCACCTTTCACCTTCTCACAGACTCCAAGCTTGGTCAGGACCCATAGTGACCCTGTGGACGGCAGGACTAAACGCAGTCCTCTTCAAGCTACACTGGAGCCCGTTGTTAGAGCCTCTGTCAGTCCACCTCACTGAAGGTCTTCCTCCTGGTCACTCACCTAACATTTCAGGCATGATGTCCTCCAAGGACTGGTCCCTCCTCATAACTTGTCCAAGGGACGGAAAATGTATTAAGGAGCCATAATTGTGCCTTACATTTATTCCACCTCTTCATCCTCTCGTCCAGAACTGATGAAACAGATTGGATAGAGGCTACTGCACTAAGTATTTCAGAAAGGAATTGGAGAGAAGAGAGTTCACTCTGTCTTGCAGAGTCAGGAATGCCCCAAGCAGTAAATCATGTCTTAACATTTTTAGAATATTTACCCTATTCCTACTCTTTCATAAGCCCTATATTATAAAGATCCCCATGTTATACTTGAAGAAACTGAGGTTTACATGAAATCATTTGCCCAACATCACACAGCTGAACTTGTCTAGACCAGATTTTAAACCCAGCCATTTGCAAAGCCTGCACCTTGAATGACCACATTGTCAGGAGTTCCAGTTCTCACACACAGGTCAGGTGAAAGCCAGGACCTCAGAGGGGCTCATTTTGGCTCAACTCACCACCAAGAACTTTCCTCCTCACCCAGATCCCAGACTCCACCACACCGCCCACTGACTGTGCTCTTGGACACTTAGAGACATGAAGGTGTTTACAAACCTGAACATAAATGTCACCGGCAGCTTTGTTTGCAGTAGCCAAAACCAAAGATGACTCCAAATGTCTTTTGACAGGTAAGTGGTTAAACGTGTGTTATATTTGGATTGTGAAATATTGTTCAGTGATGAAAGGCAGTGAGCTAGTGATGCGCACCCCACCACCTGTCTGTCCACAGCTGGCGTTGCTGTGATGCTGGAAGGGATGCCACTGATACTTCACCTGCTAACTAGGGGGGTTGCTGCTGTGTAATGTGTTGGGTAGAGGAATTTTTGTTCATCATGACTTTCCTATCTGTCCGCTTTGACTTTCACTACATGACTGGGAAGGAGATTGGAAAAGGATTTGTATAAACTGACCGTTGAGAAATTGATCCACTTTTCCAGTTACACCAAGTTTAATTTGAGTAACCTTAGCAGCAAAGGTAGGACTCATACCAGAAAGGAAGAGGGAGCTGAGAGTGCAGCTCACTTGCGTAAGGTCCAGAGATGCCTGCCTCAGTCAGACCCAGCCCTACACGAGATGCAGCAGCCATGGCAGAGCCAGAGATCCATCTGCATGAGGCAGAGCTGACTCGGACTGCAGCTCCACAGAGCCAGAGCCAGGAGTTTTCACCCCAGCACTAAGGGGACTTGGTAACACTGACCTCATCCATGAGGCTGGAGGTCAGAGAGCCGGCAACCTTGCTTGAAAAGCTGTCTAGACTGAGACAGATCCACTTGAATCCGACCTGAATTATAACCTGTTAACATGATTACAAAACCCATAACCAAAGGATCTTTTGTGAAAAGTAATGGATTCAAACTTTGTAAATAAATACATTGTTAACCTGCTGTTGAGTCTCCTGAGACTCATAGCGACCCTGTTTACAACAGCCCTAAACCCTGCTCTGTCCCTTACCAATCTTATTGTCACTGGCTTGCCTGTCACCATTACCCCAGTGACTGTATCAGTCCATCTCATCGAGGGTTTTCCTCTCTTATGCTGTCCCTCCACTCTCCCAAGCATGGTATACCTCTCCAGGGACTGATCCCACCTTGCAACATGTCCAAAGTCTGTCAGATGGAGCTTCAGAATCCTTACCTCCAAGGAACAGCCTGGCTTAACCCTCAACAGAACAAACTACTTTGTTCTTGAATACTCTTCAGTACCAAAGCTCAAAGGCATCAACTCTCCTTATATCATCCCTAGTCATTGTCCAGCTTTCTGATGCATAGCAAGTAATTACAAAGATCATGGCCTGTATCAGGTGCACCTTAGGCTCCAGACTGACATCATTGCCCTTCAAGACTTTGAAGAGGTCTCTGACAGCCGACTTTCCCAATGCAAATCATCTTTTAATTTCCTGGCTGCTTGGTACCAAGAGTGTTGATTGTATAACCAAGCAAACTGAAGTTGTCAACAATCTCAATCTCTTCATCATCCGTTATGATGCTGCCAATCAGCCCAGTGATGAGAATCTTTGTCCTCTTGACATTGAGCCTCAATCCGTATTGAAGGCTGCAGTCCTTAACCTTCTGCTGCAAGGTTAAGGTCTCAGGTCCTCCTCAGTTTCAGCAAGCAGGGTTGTGTCATCTGCATAACGCAGATTATTGATGAGTCTTCTTCCAATCCTGATGCCACATTTCTCATCATAGAGCCCAACCTCCTGGATAATCAATGAAACACAGACATTCCTCTGATACTCTCTGCTTTCAG